ACTGATGGAACGCCCCGCGATGCTCGTTGTGAGATGTGGGTGCTTTTCAACCGGACCTGACAACACGGCCGGCAACAACACTGATATCATCCATTTTACCTGTACAACGCAAGGGTCAGTAAGACGAACTAGGTTGACAACAGCACAAGATCGCTGGAATGCATACCTCCGTTGACAGACAGACCTACTTCCTGCGCCTTTTCCATGTACGGAGTTTGCGCGGCCGGGTCCATGGCAACTGCCCTGGCAGTGGTCAAGAGCTGCTCAGCGACATATACCATCCTTCCGCCCCGACTCTCAAGATACTCGGCCATCTCTCGCTTTTTCTTGCATATTTCCCATTTCTCGAGACTTTTGAGTACCACTTCTAGCACGTCATGGTCCCACAAATTATCTGTTACTCCATCTGAAACCACCAGAACGATATCATTTTCCTCTATCTCCAGTACGGACAATGCTGCATTCTCTCGAGGTTTGTCCACACTATTGGTCCCTAGCTGCATGGGGCAGTCGAACCAGTGCCACTGGCCATCGGTTTTGAACACAATACGCCTCTCTCTTGGGCGAATGACTAGTGTCTGGCAATCCCCAAGATTGGTGACATGCAAGAACGGAGTGGGTGTCTCTCCTATGATTTTGTAGCTCAAGAGTGCAGTCGCGGTGGTGGTGGTCCCTAGAATCTCATTTGGGGATGAGGTTGCCTCGACTGTCTCTTCGTACGCCCGCTGAAGACACTCAATCAAGTCCGGTTTCGGCGATCCGGTGAGGCGGTTTTCAACTTCCAACGCCCAGTAATGCAGTATTAATCTGGACCACAACCTGGAAAACAAACTGTGAGTAACTGTTTGACCTTGCCTAAGGTTCAAAGAGGCACCTACGCAGCATGGCCCTGAGGCTTCGACGCCCAAGCTCCGACTCCGTCGTTCACGCCCAAGAAGTTTGGAGAACAAAGGATCGCATCGTCTCCGTTTGTTAGCCCGCGAAGAGGCTCCCCGTTTACCGACGGCCGTCTATCATGACTCCTGTCATGAGTCGTCAAGGCATCTGAGAACGAAGTGGATGGCGGCGATAGGAAAGGCGGCGGGAACGGCCGGGACGGTCGCTTCGGGATTATCGAGTAGCCAGTGTCAAAATAGAAAGGAGGCCATTTTGATCGCACAGGCTGCACATTTTTCTCTGCGGTCGGGGTTGAGATGCCAGATATAGGGGCAACGGCCGGCGACCACTGGATAAATTGTCGGAGGGTTGGGAGTTTCCAGTTTGTTGATATCAGAAAGCGAGTGGAGGCAGGGGTAGTAAAGACCATTCCAGCATGAGTTTATCTGCACCTGGAGCAGGCTCACTGTAGATGTTTCTTGGGTTTAATCAAACCCTCAAAAATATTCTCTGGTTTAGGTAGGATGGAAGAGACCAGATGGATTAAATATGGTCATCCTATTTCCTCCTCGCCTTTTTTTTTTTCGCCCTCCTTTGTTTTTGAAATCGGACAACTTCCAGTTTTTGCTAACATGCGCCTCTCAACACAGCCAGACCACGCAGGGTACAGGGGTAGGCACGCGCAACGATAACCTGACCTGATAATTCTCCGTTAAGGCCTTCGTGTTTTTTCTTTTGTGACAATTGTTGAGCTCCGGAAAATTATATCTTCCGTCAGCTGGGTAAATAATCAGCGCACTGCCAGAGAGGCGATTGATTGTATCTGCCTTAGGTCTCCTTCGTTATGTGCATTCCCCAGCCTAACTTATACTACGCCGCATCCAGGAACCGGAGCTGGAAGCGAATGGGCACGCCGCACAAGTTCCATTCCTGCCGTCCGACTTAGTGGGGTCTCTGGTTGAAATTTGAGTGTGGTCTTTGGCCTAGGAGTGGCAACCGTGCAGTTAGATATCGCGGACGTTGACCGAACCAAAGCACCGCCATTCGGCTTCCAGAGCGAGCGGTCGAGTTTGTGACGATAGAGAAGCTAGAGCGCAGCGGCGACGGCTATTTAGTCCACGGCTTTTCTCTCCAATCACCCGCCCTCGACTTGGCGACTCCGCGTTGTTCGGTCGTTAACCATCTAGCTCTGGCGGCGAGCACCGGGAGTTGCGTATCGGAAGTCACTCGTGTCCGGAGTAGTTGAAGAGGGGATGACAATGTTGTCGTTGCCAGCATACGGTAGATCTAGATTCCAAGTCTTCTGTTCTAGAAGCCCTAAAGCCGGGCGCTGGGTCTGGGGAATCGATGTCTTGATGCACGGTAAATGTATGGATGCACAACCATGTACGGAGTACTCCGTAAGGTTTGTCGATATGGAGAAGCGGGCGCTTAAGTGCACGTGACATGGCTTTTGCCCATATCGAGTTTCGTATTCGAACTTCGAGGTGGAAATACATTCAAAGCAAGAAAAGAACGAAGAAAGACAGCAGCTAAAATATGCATAAAATCATGAAACACTGCTCGTGCTTGTTAAAAGCCCTTTGACAGGAAAAAAAAAATGGAAAAGAAAGAAACGGCCTTCAACTCCTCCCTAGCTGTTCGTTCAATCATTAAAATCGTCACTATATGACCATTTATTCTCTTACTAGCACTGCCCTCGATGCACGCCATCCCTAATTCCCTGCGGGTACTGAAAATCCATGTTGAAGTCAAAGCAGTAGCTGTCTTGAGCGACAGCTCGCCAATAGTGGTCTCGGAAGTGAGTGACTTCGTCGTGGAAGAACTCCAATCCTCTGCTCAGGAAACATGTCATTCCATGCAAGCCAATACCCTGGTAAGAGGCAGATAGTGCTTCGAATAGTATCACTGCCATGTCCGCACATTTTTCAACAAATGGTCGCCGGAGGCCAAGGTCCTCTTCGTAAAGTAGATTCATCCTACTTGTACAGGGGCAAATTCTCCATCCCTTAGCAGTACATCTGCGAGAACAAGTGCAGTTCTCAAGACATACACAAAGATTTTGCTGGACATATAGGCGGACCACTTCCTGGCTATTCTGACGTCGAAACTCGCCAACAGTTATACCATGTAGCATAGCACATGCTGCTTCTCTGTTTGCCTGTATTCGTCGTTCTTCCGCATAGGCCGGGTTGGATTTCCATGCTGGTGGAGGGGATCTAACCTTGACGTCGGCGCATTTGCCTTGTTTCTTCTCTCTTGCTGTAATACCCATGTACTTCTCCCTCAAAGTTGCAAATATCATCTCTGGGGAAGCGTCGTAAACAGGATTAAGTCCGCTCCACTTCATGCGATATGGTGAGTCTGGGTCGGTGATCAGGCTCTGTATATATTGACGGTAGCTAACCGGGTCATCGGCGAAGTACCCAGCCTCCTCGCCCATTAGCATGGTTTGCTGGATATAGTCTTCTTCTTGATGTCGAATGAGTTCTGTGTTGAGCACACCGCACACTTCCTCTGAAAGTAGGAGACATTTGCATGCCTCAAAGATCAACCTAAGGTGTTTGATTTCCGGAAGGCCCTTGCTTCGAAGAAGCCTTGAGTTGGTTCTAGCAAAACGATAATCAAACTCGAAGCTCTCTTCAATGTCTATTTGCCGGATTTCACTCTTTACTCTTGCGAGTAAGATGTAGAACAGGTCTTCAACCGCTGCAAGGAGTTTGGCGGAGTATGGCTGTGTCAATTCTTTCTCCATTCGGGCAATATGAAATTTTATATCCGTTGGAGTGTCGTCCAACTAGATACCGATTGTTAACCTGATGTTCTTTTGAAATGCAACTGTTTTTCAATATTCCCACTTACTTCTGATCCAAATGCCTTGAGAATCTCAGAAATCATCTTGGCGACGCCATAGACCTTGGAATAAGCCATGACGGCTCTGCCTTGCCTCTCAGACTTGCTGTCTTCAAAGGTCTGCGGACCGCAGAATTCTGCCTCATTTGACCCCGGAATATACCTAACTGGCTGTAGGAACTCCATTGGTTTCCGAAAATATCTTAAGGTGGGTATAATTGGGTTCTTCAAAGGGGGTGGAAAGGGGTAGTTCGTGAATTCGAGAGTTGTATATCAGAGATAGCTGGCTGTGATGAGGATGGATGGAGCTCTTGGTAAGGTTCCTGGAGTGGAGCGTCATGATGGAAAGGAAAAGGAAAGGCAGAACTGAAAGGGGGTTATATATATGGTGGCTGGTAGTATGTCCTCGATTGTCGGATGTGAATTCACCTAGGCTGCCTATTCAAAGTTCCTGTGTTATTGAACTTTGAATGCGACGATGAGCTCATAGAGTTCCATTGAGCAGGCCAAACATCGACATCCCTCAATAGCCTATTCAATACTCAGATTGTCTTCTAACCTTCGCAACGACACTCACTTTCATCTGTGAATAGGGTCCCTTGGGCGTTGTTCAGATGGGTTCATTCAATACGTGACCCAGCAGATTGGGGGCTTACTTATCTAATCAGGCACTTAATGCCAGCATACGCGATTTCTCCTGTAATTTATTTGGTATAAGGGTAATTTGGAGAATCTCGTCAAGGAAATATGCACATATTTAACTAGACTTATTGTACGTGGGTTCAGACAATTGGAATTGTGACCGCTGCGCTGCAAAACCAGCAGCACGTTTATTGAGAGACATGTCTTCATTTGTGTTAATTTTCTCTAACCTTGGACACGGAACGTCCTTCCACTGGCGGTCTTTCGCTCCTTTTCTTCATTCTCGGGTCTCGCACGGTTAAGAACTAGAGAAAAAGGTACAATTAGTATAAGCAAAGTGGTTAACGTTGAATCTAAGCAAGCTTACCCTGCAAGAAGTCTGCAGTGCGTTTCCGCATTCTGGTGTGGATATAAGCCTAGACAAGTAGGTCAATAATCGGAACATGTCCTAATTGGTGGTATATATTCAGGATCGTACTTTTGAAGCTTTGATATGATAGTGGAAGTAGTCGCGGAAGGTTTGTATGTGGGATATCGTCTCCGCACGTTTTTGTGGCAGGAGGTGACGGGGATAGAGGACTATATACCATTAGCGGAGTTATACCGACATATTGCTTGAGCATTTGGCCTTACCGAATGTGATGTAGCCGACTTCCCCATTTCGAGAGTCCTTTAGGCCTGGAATCCCTTGGAGTTCTAGCGGTGGATCGTTGCGGAATAGGACTTGGGGGGCGTTTTGTATGGCTCGCCTTCGAACGTCGGCGAATTCCTATCAAGAAATCAGATGATAAATCCAGAGATATAGAGAGCAAGGGATATAGGCCATTATGGCATACCTGAAGGAACACTTTACCAAAGATCTTATCTGTCTCATCCCTGAAGATTGTGCTGAAAATAACAGTGACGCAATCGTATCCAGCCTTGATGAATATGGCCTCCTCATCTCGGTAATGGACAGTCATCACCTCTCCACCATCCTTTAACTGTTGTGGAAGAGCTTCAAGGGAGTATTTGTTAGACTCCTCCTCGAGTTTTTGGAACTCTTCAAATCCTCTCTCGAAGGGCGAAGCCATGGCATTCCGTTTCATGAGCGCAATGCTCATAATTAGTTGATCCCTTGCCTCCTGCTCAGCAGGGAGATCCTCCAGGTCTATGAGGATTGAAAAGTCATATCCAGGCTCTGGGGATACAATGTATGGTCCGTATTCTCTCTGAAGGACACCCTCCGCACCATATTGTACCAGCTCGCGGAAACAGCGTACTGCGATGGAGATGAGGATTTTGGATTTGGTCTCGGGAGTGGAAACATGAAACGTAACGCCGTCGAAGTCGGATACTATCTGATCGATCGAAACTGGGGCAGCTCTATCGTTGATTGTCAGTTGAATCTATCCCAAGGCAGCACACATTGGGTGGGGTATTTACCCTGAGAACCGCTCAGTTAGCAGCGAGTGTATGAGGACGTTGTGGTAATCTAGGAGTAGCATCTTTAGGGAACCAGTATCATAAAATCAATTCCGATAACCACGCTGCGCAGACGTCATGTAAGGGTTGTTTAGATCTGTTTTGTTGCGCTGTGATACTTCTCCGTCCAACTGTATCGGCGTCAGCGATGCGTTCACTCGTCTGCACTTAATTACGTAATCTTAAAATTGCTACACTGGTCTTTGAGGGAAACCGCAGCTTATCCGTGGAACTCAATATTTCTTTTGCGCATTTCGAGACTTTGAAGCTTGGTGGAAGGGCAGATATTGGAGTCTCGTCTTTGACGCAAGGGAAAAATGGTGAAGTCGTATTTGTAAGTTCTGCTCGTCGCTCTCAATTCGAATTGCTACTAACAATATGCTTTTCATAGAAAATTCGAGGCTTCAAAGACTTTCGGCCTGGTCACTTCCGCCTCAGCAAATGCGGTTTGGCTGAAAGATGAGAAGACAACCGGCTCAGTTCGAAAATCGGGCTCTGGGCGTGCAGTTGTAGGCGCCGGAGAGAGTGTTCTATGTTGGGACATCAAGAAGGGGGATTTACTTTCAAAATGGACTGATCAAAAATGCCAGGCGCAAGTGACAGCAATTGCGCAAAGCAAGACCGATGAAGACCTTTTTGCAGTAGGGTGAGGATACTCTTTTAACGAAATACCATGCTTTTTCTTTATGGTGGATGAACGGTCTAACTCACGAGCTATAGGTACGAGGACGGCACAATTAGAATATGGGACTCAAAGTTAGCTACGGTAATGATTTCTTTCAATGGCCACAAATCTGCGATTACCAAATTAGTATTCGACGCGCAAGGAACACGAGTTGCAAGTGGCTCTAAGGACACAGATATAATACTCTGGGATTTGGTGTCTGAAGTAGGATTAGTCAAATTGCGAGGTCACACTGACCAGATTACTTCCCTTCATTTCCTGACCACAGGCGCTGTGGATGATGCGGAAGCTCTTGCGCTTAGCCAGCACGATGGTTTCTTATTAAGTACAGGAAAGGATTCACTGATCAAAGTCTGGGATCTCTCTTCTCAACACTGCATCGAGACACATATTGCACAAGGAAACGGAGAATGCTGGAGTTTAGGCCTTTCGCCTGATATGAGCGGTTGCATCACTGGTGGTAATGAAGGTGAATTGAGAGTTTGGTCCATTGACGCGAGCTCAATAAGGGAGGTTGCAGGAGGGAAAGCCGAAGTGAATACCCGCAAGATACTGACTGATCGGGGTAACCTTTATCGCAATGGGAAAGAGAGGACGTTGGGCATACATTTCCACCCACAATTGGATTACGTTGCCCTTCATGGATCCGAGAAGTCGACCGAGATCTGGCGAATAAAGAGTAACGAGGAAGTACAAAAGAGCCTGGCAAGGAAACGCAAGCGGAAGAGAGAGAAGGCCCGAGAAAAAGCAGGTGAAGGCGGAACGGAAGCAGACGTGGATATGGATGACCCTACCACTGCGGCCTCAATTGCAGAAGTTTTTGTTCCGCATACAATTGTTCGGACAGGAGGCAAGGTATCGTCTGTGGACTGGATGGGCTCAAAAGGTTTACAACTACTTGTGGCTACGGCCAACAACCAACTGGAGACCTACGGAATCACACCAGCCGAGAAGAAAAAGTCTCCGGACCAGGATGAGCCTGATTATAGCCGTGTTCTTTCCATTGATATCCCGGGCCACAGGACAGATGTGAGATCCCTTGCCTTAAGTTCCGATGACAGAATGGTTTCATCGGCATCGAATGGAAGCCTGAAGATTTGGAATGTACGGACGGAAACATGTTTACGAACACTGGATTGTGGCTACGCTCTTTGCTCTGCATTTTTGCCAGGGGACAAGATCGTGGTCGTTGGAAATAAGAATGGAGAAATTGAGGTATTTGATATTGCGTCGTCCACCTTGTTGGACACAATACAAGCACACGATGGGCCTGTTTGGTCGCTTCAAGCCCATCCCGATGGAAAGTCGATGGTTACTGGCAGTGCCGACAAGACAGCGAAATTCTGGAATTTCCAGGTAGTGCAAGAGGAGGTCCTGGGAACCAAACGGACTACCCCTAAACTGAAGCTTGTCCACACCAGGACATTAAAGGTGACTGATGACATTCTCAGTCTACGCTTCAGCCCGGATGCTCGTTTACTAGCCGTTTCTCTTTTGGATAACACTGTCAAGGTTTTCTTTGTCGACTCTTTGAAGCTCTTTCTTAACTTGTACGGCCATAAGCTCCCAGTCTTGAATATGGATATTTCATACGATAGCAAGATGATTGTTACTTGCTCAGCTGATAAGACTGTACGGCTATGGGGTCTTGATTTTGGTGACTGCCACAAGTCTTTCTTTGCTCATCAGGACAGTGTCATGGCTGTTGCCTTTATGCCTCACAACAAGGAAGGTGATGGGCATAATTTTTTCAGTGTGGGCAAAGACCGAGTTATCAAATATTGGGATGGCGATAAGTTCGAGCAAATTCTCAAACTTGGGGGTCACCACGGCGAAATTTGGGCACTGGCCATGAGCCATTGTGGGGAGTTCATCGTAACTTCCAGCCATGATAAGAGTATACGACTCTGGGAACAGACAGATGAACAGACATTCCTAGAAGAGGAACGAGAAAAGGAAATGGAAAGCTTGTATGAGGACAACCTGCTCAAGTCCCTGGACCAGGATGAGGACGACGAAGACAAGGCTGAGGCAGTTGCAGCCGGTAAGCAGACAACGGAGACTCTTACAGCTGGAGAAAAGATCATTGAAGCTTTGGATCTTGGTATGGATGATCTTGCGCTGCTACAAGACGCAAAGGAAAAGAATCTTCCACCTCCTACACGGCACCCGCAATATCTTGCTCTTGGAAATATATCTGCCGAGAGATACCTTCTCAACGTTATTCGAAAGATACCCGCTGCCTCACTACAGGATGCACTTCTCGTTCTTCCCTTTACTAAACTCCCTGCCCTATTCACCTTTGTAGATATATGGGCTAGAAAAGGGTGGGATATACCGCTTACCTGCCGTGTCCTGTTCTTCATCCTAAAGACGCATCACACCCAGGTTGTCAGCAGCAAGATGATGAAGCCCATGCTCGACTCTATCCGCTCTCATCTGCGCCGAGTTCTCGACAGGCAAAAGGATGAAATGGGATATAACCTGGCGGCTCTGCAGTTCATCGGCGGGCAGGTGAGAGAGAAGAGCCAGTCGGAATATGTGGATGAAGAGCAGTGGGAACAAGACGAGCAAAAACAGACCGGCGTGAAGAAGCGGCAGTACGTGTCTGTTGCTTAGTGTGTTCGGCCACGCATAATATACTATTTACTATTCTGGTTGCAAAGTATCAAGGGTGTTTCGTTGCATTTGAGGGATACCAAAAACATGTTGATCTTACATCCTGTTTCACCCAGACGGCGGATTGGAGTTTTTGTACAGTAAAAAAAAAGTCGATTGAATAGAAATGAAATAAAAGCAACATAGAATCAGTATTAATTCGTTAGTATGCCCTGGCTATACCTACAATCTTGGCCATGGATCGAGGGGATATCCTGCGGTTTGACCCAGTAGAAGAACAACATGTACCATCGCCCACCAGTTATATATATCTAGACAGCAGCCCACAGCAAATCCTAATACTACAGGCATATGATTGACATTCCACGGTATATGTATGGCTCGGCTAGCAGGTTTTCTTCCCTAGGGTACGAAGCAAATTAGCACAATGTACCCACTGATATTCCCAACGAACAATGTGAATAGCGAGAGGCTGAAAAGGACAAAAGGCACTCCAAAACCATACACAGCTTTCATCAGCAGAACCGTTATAAGCATCGACGACACAAATAATAAATTAACCCGCTCCATGTGGTAACGGTTGCCATACCTCTTCCGGCTCTTCCTAAAAGTACTTGGTTCGTATGGTATTCATCATATGAAAGCCGTGTATGGCTTGGAGTAATGGTAATACGTAGAAAAGGTCAACTTACATCTATACTGTCAGTATCCCGTGAGCCCAGCGACATTGAATGACATTATCAGTCGACAGTCGACAGGCGTAGCTAACGAAGAGCTTGCAGCGAAAGAAAATGCGAAAGCGCAAGCGACTTTTTATCAACATAGCATCACGTGGTATGATTATGTAACGACCACAGCAACCAGAACAAAATTAAAAAAAAAAAAAAAAAAAAAAAAAGGGACAAAAAAGAGAAAGCCGAACGCGAGGCTCGAACTCGCAGCCTTGTGGTGATCTCAGACCGTGTTTGCTGTAAAAGCCACACGCTCTACCGATTGAGCTAGCCCGGCTTCGTTGGTGGTAGGCAGGGCATGGAAGGTATATCAGTGGCAGGTTGAGGCTGCGACCCCTTACGGAGTACATGCAAGTATATCAGTCCTGCTCTCCCTCACGGCAACGATGTCAAGCTCGCCGCAGTTTCTAGATTAAAACGACGGAAGCTCAGGTAGGATCTTAGAAGACGGCCATGGTTAGTTAAGATGTTTGTGCCGCCTTTAGACTGCGGGGGTGGGTAGAAAGGTGACAGTATCAAGGTAGAATACGAGCACGCTTGGGTTAGTTACAGGGGCATTGTTTACTCCAACATATCCGTCTAATGTTTCATTCATTTCGTTGAATTTCTGGCTATGTACATCTAGTTGCGTTACTGAAGAACTCAACACGGCACTCTTGATAGTTTCCCGGCTGGTGAATCCTCCAGTATCTTCCAACAACTCCCGGCAGCAGCAGGAGAAAGCAAGTCTTGTCATCAATCATTCCCAATTACCATCCATTTAGCTGGTACCAGAGCAAGCAACAAAGCCGCTGCCGCTAGCACCAGTGTGAGTGATCTGACCGGCCTCGTCGCAGTTCCCGGTGATGATGACACGGTCAGCGCCGGGAGAACCTATATCATACGGTTAACCACTGAACATGTCGAGCATGTAAAATATGAAGGAGTTTCTGGTACATACCACCGCTGTAGACGCCAGAAGTGCGGAGAGGGAGCTCGTAGAATGGTCCGCTGAGACCCTGGAAGTAGAAGCCCTCATAGTTACGGTACTGGTGAGGGTAGGTAGAGCCGCCGGCAGTGGTGCCGCTCTGGACGTAGTTGCAGGCAGCGTTGCTGGCAGCGGTGACCTGGCTGGCAGAGTAGTAGGTGTTGCCGCAAGTAGTGGCACCTCTGGCCTCGAGGGCAGCTGGGGCGGCAGTGGCAGCAGCCACAAGGGAGAGGAGGGCGAGGAACTTCATGGCTGTGTTGTCTGATCTCAGGTCAAGGGTGTCTTGGATGGTTACTTGGTTGGCTGCTCCATCACCACGCTCTAGGGACAGCCAGCTCTCTTTAAATGTCCAGCATGATCAGACAGAGCGCGCAGCTTGCCAGGCTGATTACTTTACCTGCTTCTCTCTCTCGAGCTGGTGGAAATCAGCCTGACCATGGACCATGGGACGCGGCATCCTGACTGGTGGACGGGCCGTCGATCAATGGCAACAGCTCTCTCGCTACTGTCCCGCAAAAGTCAAGGAAGACGAGCCACTCAACGCCGTGACCTGGGCAGCATGTGCGAGTCGGTGGAACTCGAGGGTTCCATTTTTTGAGGAATTCGGCTGTCTGCAGATGTGCTGGATACGAAGCAGAGCTCAGGGACGGACATGGCTGGGTATCTCAATTTAAGCATCACCTGATGGGCGCTGCCGAAGCGCTGTCGTTGGCTGCCAGCAGCAGCATCCGTGGCATCGTAGTCGTCCTAGTGGCTGATCCCCCAGGCTGCTGGCTTCGTCGTTGCATGCAGCATTGACGAGATGCATGCTTAGCTGCCTGCATGAGTGGACGGACCTGAGTTTGTCGTTCTTCCTGGAGCAGGCGTCCGTACGGGTCTCGCCGAAGGTGCAGCGGAGCTCGGTACATATAACCACCACCTGTTGGTTAGTTAATAGTCAACTAGTTAGCCTGCAGATGGAGATAGTTAAACAGGCCGAGACAAACATCGAATTATTGGGAGCTACAAACCAAAGAATCAAGCACGCTGGCATTATATCTAAATATTAACTAATCATAACTGGCAAACATATATACTTGTAAAGGAAAAAGAAAAGAGAAAGGGAGGAGGCCAAACAAATATCCTCCCGCTATGTAACTGGCTGATATGGTGAAAATGTTCAAAGAATGTTCAAATGAATTTTTATCGGAGTAATTACCGAATATGCTCGGTAATTGTCGAGATAGCAAGCCGGAATTCCCGTCCGACGGCGATGGCCTGCTCCCTGGTTAGAACGGATGACCAGTAGGTTATGTTTGCTGTCATCTCTGCTTCGCCAACAGTGACCACAGTGACAATGTCATACTAAATAGTGCGTTTCTGTCAGCCATGTGCAACCACCGGAGGGAAATAAATTAACCACATTGACAGCAGGAAAGAAAAAGAAAACTATCATACCTCCGTAGCCTCCCGGGTCTCAAGTGCTTCAAAGTGAACGCCAGGTTCCTTCTGGTTGCTATTAGACAACGGCTGTTCTACTGATAGACAGGTGTTGAACAAAGATCCGGTGCTGTCTATACGCTGCATCACCTCGAACAGTGAGCAGTACTGGTTGGATAAACGGTTTGCCATCGCGACCTGATTCTCTTGCAGACATTCTCTTAAGGACATATTCTCACTTAGAGTGAGCCGACATGCAAGAACGTTGAATATGGAACCAACAATGTCATGTACTCCCGGTAGCGGTGCCTCTCTGCCCGTCACCAAGGTCCCAAAGCACACATCGTCAGAGCCAGTGTGCTGTCGAAGTACGATACCCCAGGCAATCTGGAGCAGGTTGGTAATCGTTAAACCGTTCAAAGCACACAGCTTTCTCGGCGGACTAGGATGTCCCAGGCTCACTTCTACCGAATTAAGGAAGCCCGTAACGGGTTGTATTTCTCTCGATAACCGCGGGAAGTGGCATGGCTTTGCACCAGCAAGGTATTCAAGCCAGAAGTCCATGCAGTCGGGTAGAGAGAGAGCATATGAGACCCAAGAGCTATACTCGAGCCCTTGCCTAGATGGAAGCTTTCCCTCGTACGCTAGTGCAAGTTCTTTTATGAGGAGTATCACAGAGACTGCATCGATAATGGCATGTTTGCCTTCCATCTTGCAATACACTTGGCCAGTATCGGTTTGGCAGATAGAAAAGACATGTGGAAGAACAGGGCCAGCGTTATCCCTCGAATTCAACGTTGGATGACGTAGGACGCGCATGGCTTCATCATCTGTGCAGGAAAGTATTTTCACTTCGCGAGGATATGAATCGAGTACAACATGCGTCAAGGTCCCGCCTTCAACATCTTCAAGGGCAGCCTCAACCAATATCGTCCGCAAAGCAGCATGGCGCTGTGCGAGCTGATACCACGCCTTTTGAAGCTGGACTGGATCAATTTGACTTGTTGATCCTATCCTTTCAACTTTCCATATTGTGTGAGAGACATATGCATCATTCCCCAATTGAGGAATAACTAGTCCTTCGTGGTACGGTGTGCATGGGTATACTTCTTCAATGCTCATAGTAGTTGAAGACCCTAAAAGATTTTCCACCTCCCACTCAAATCGTTTTGTTCGCTTGTACCTTGCCAAGTTCGTTGATGGCGGGAGCTTGGCAGCCTTCTTTGATCTCGCTGTTATGAGGCTCACTGTCCTTCCTTCGAAAATATCCATTGCCGTGATTGAAAGCTTGTCACGTTGACATTGTGACACTACTTGCATCACAGAAATGGAATCACCTCCCAAAGCGAAGAAGTCTTCGTCGGCCCCAACTTCTTCGGGGTTCAAGTGCAAGACTCTGGAGATAATGGAAGCAAGCTTCCTTTCTGCTTCAGATTTCGGTTGTTGGCGGCCTGATTTCTGCAGCCAAGCTTCAATTTCGTTCGAAGTCAGTCGTGTTAGAGCTTCCTTCAAGTTCTGGCGGTCTTGTGCACAGATACCATTATCCCACATATATCCAAGTGGGATACATATGGGAGGTGCTGCGACGAACTCGGTCGCCGTGTGAAGCTGGCGTTTTAGGAGCGCCAATGTCTTCCTTGAATCGGAATTTGGGGACGCTAAAATAAAGGAGTTATTTAGGAAGAGAAATGTCCCCCTTTTGTGGTCCCTGGTCATTGCATGGCACGAGAAGAGCTAACCTTGGGCTAGACATTAGTTTGGGGGTTATCATCTCTGCATACACATGTCTGTTCCCAATGAGGTTTCGGGCAGCCGCTTCTATAGCTGCCAGTCGGGTTTTCTGGGAGTTTAGCTGTTCCACCTTGCATTCGTCGTGAACTGAAGAACCAAACTTGCACATATCCATCACCTCACCCAATGTTTGACTATCCACAGAGTCTACCAGCCGAGTTAAAAGGTATTCCAATTGTCCCAACATGGCGTTCACTTTGTCCAGTGATAAAACAGCAGCGTCGAATATAGCTCTTACTGACACCGACTCGACTTCAAGTTCACATATCACGGTCAGGACATAAGTGCAAAACTTCGTCTCGTCCTCGAGCGACTCTCCAAGTTTTAGAAGCCAGGTTTGAGGATTTTGATTATTCTTAGAGGAAGGCTGGATAACCAGCAAGCTCTGGAAATCGCAGGCAATCGATGCCTCGGGGCTGCAACTTCTAATTCCCTGCATAGCTGTCTGTTCAAAAGGAATCAGAGCCGTGGCATGATTTTGGACTTTTCCTAGAGCCACCTTGATGGGATCATTCCGGTCAAGTACAGTGCGAACTGGGAAAGTTGCAATTGTTGGGCCAACTATCTTTTCAATTCCAGGAACAGGTGCATTTCTACCTGTTACCGTGGCGCCATGGACAACGTCGTTTGATTGAGTATCTTGCGCTATCAGCATTGCCCAGGATAAGCGAATTAGCGTTGATGCTGTGAACCCTCCCACTCCAGTTGAAGCTCCAAGTGGAACATTCCTGCTGGCCACTGCTATTTCTCTAGGTACGTAGCCCTCGGGCATGCGGAGAGGGAACACTGGAGCTTTCAAGCTCTGGAATTCGTTCTTCCAGAATGTTTTGGTATATTCAGGATTTACAGCCGATAGGTGGTGAACAAACGGAGAAAATGGGAATAATTCAACCGTCCTACTCTCGTATGCTACTTCAACGATCTGTAAGATTTGTTCATAACTCCATTTATCAAAGAGCGCATGGTGCATTTCCAGAGTGAATATTGGAGCTTCATTCTTCTGGTGGCAACTGTTGTCCATGATACATCTGACAAGGGGGGTTCCATAAGACATGGGATCTGCAGCTGCCACATCTCTATCTTCGGAAGAAAACCATCTCAATTTGTCTTTGACAATTACCTGGAGAGCTCGGAAAGAAGCATCCGTCTGGATGATGCGAGTGCGCAATATAGGTGTTGAATTGAAGGCATAACACCAGGCTTCGTGGAATTTTTGGGTATCAATAGTGTCAGGGAGGCGAAAGATGAAGCGTGCCTGGAAAGAGCCGGGATTCCTTGCACTCCAAGACATGAGCCCTTCTTGCAATGGAGTGCAACCATATATGTCTTCAATTTGGTCTCTGCTGATTTGACATTGTTCAATTGCCTGTTCGGTAACTGTTTGCAATTCGGATGCCTTCAGCATGGAAAAGGGAGCGCAAATTTGCATTGAATCCTGAGTAACGAATTCCATGGTTTGTGCCATCTCATATATAGCGGGAGCAGCAAATAACGAGGCAACTTTGATTTGTAAGTTGTATTCCTCTCTCGCCATACCAACCAGTGTAATAGCACTAATCGAATCTCCGCCGAGTTCAAAAAAACTGTCCTCCCTTCCAACTTCATCTTCAGACAATCCAAGCACTTTAGAGTATAACTTTTGAAGAAGACGTTCAGAATCTGTGGTAGGTGCAGCTTTCAAGATGCGCGAACCCATGTTTTCTTTCAGGGAAGATCTTTGAAGAGCGGACCGATATTGCTGAAAGTCTGACTCCGGGAGGTTTGCAACTGCATTCCTTAGTATCTTCCTATCTATCTTCCCGGTCCGCGAAAGAGGCATTTTGACGAGAGGAAGCACGGCTGTGGGTATCATGTATCTTGGAAGTTCATCTCGCAGTTTGTCCTTCATTTCCTGAGCAATAACTCGAAAGTTCTCATTTAATGGTCGAACTAATGAATCACCAATATGCTCCTGGATGCCTTGTTCTTCCGCAACAAACAGTACCAAGGACGGGGATTTCTCTTTTTGACTGGCGGGTACAACCACTTCGGCAGCAACGACAGAGTCAGGAAACCATTTCTGTGTATGATGTTCCACCTCACCGAGTTCAATCCGCTGTCCATGAAGCTTCACCTGAGTGTCCTTTCGGCCTTGGCACATTATGGTTCCATCAGAATTATACCGTGCAAGGTCTCCTGTTTTGTAAAGCCTCATGTTACTGCCCATTGGGAACACCTTGGGTATCCAGTCTGGATTCTGGATGAAGGCAGAAGCCGTCTGTTGAGGCCGATTCAGATACCCCCGGCCGACAATGAAACCTCCAATGACTAGTTCGCCCGTAACGCCGATGGGCACAAGTTGATGATGATTATCTTTATCCACAATCCAGCATGTCCCTGCGTATGAACGGCCAATGTTTCCAGGCTGGCAATCTTCCGACAGGACTGTTGACACCACAGTACACTCAGCAGGGCCATAGGCACATACCAAACGCACTTTATCGCTCCACATGGATATATCTGCGGGAAGCATAGCCTCTCCTCCAAGTACTAGTGTTTTCACGGATGGAATATCTTCCGGCCGTAGGAGTCGTGCGACAGAGGGCGTCAGCTCCATCCAGTTCACGCCGAGGCCAACTATGGCATCTTGAAGTTGATTGACGCGCTGTGATTCCGAGGGTATACAGACACATCCTCCCAGGATCAAAGGAGTTAGGTTCTCATGGATGCTTACATCGAATGCGTATGATGCGAATTGCAGTACTCGAGAGGAATGGTCGAGATTATGCGCGTTGCTGCTCGATATTGAATTCAGACAAAACGAAGCATGCTCTATCATTATTCCTTTTGGTACACCTGTTGAACCCGAAGTATATGCAATGTAGGCAACATCATCGGGTCTGACAGATGCCTGACGAGGTATATGTATCCTTTCGTCATTTTTGATGGTGTTGTCCACGACAATAACTGTCTCGATGAAGCTGGAGCTAGTAGCGCGTTGCTCAGCAAAGGAAATGATTACCGTGGCCTCGATATCTCTGCAAATTGCTTCTGTCCGGCTGCGAGGATATGAGGGGTCCAGCAAGACAAACGCTGCACCAGCCTTGAGCACTCCTAAGATAGCGACGGGGGTCCATTTGCTCTTTTCAAACTGCAGAGGAACGATGGCGCCAAGTCCGATTCCACGATCCCGCAGCTTGGCCTGCACGACGGATGAGAGCCTGTCCAGCTCTCGATAGGTCAAATCACCATCCCAGGAGCACACTGCCTGAGAGTTCGGGCGCATCAAACACTGCTGGCGGATAAGGGTCGGGATGTTTGTATCGAGAGGTTCCGACGGCGCTTGGCTGTTCCACGAGATGATCTGCTGCAGGTGGTGGTTACTAATAATTGAGTTGTGGTCGGCTAACGTGCAATGCGGTTCGTCAATAAGCGACTTCAAGATACGCTCCAGCTCGCTCGCCAGGTTCCGAGCCTGAGCATCGTCCACGATATATCGAGAGTACCAGAGCGAGATGCGTGGGACCGGTGCACTTTCATTCAGATTGACTATGACTTCTAAACCCTTTGGTTTTCAACAAGGATTTTCCAGGTCGACTCGGTTAGCTGACATGTTTTCGCCTTGATCAAAATGAGGACAGCGAAGAACCAAAGCTCACCTTCAGATCATCACAGCCCTGTAATGATTCACATGGCCCAAAGAGAAGACCGGTGTTGAAGCTCGCATTATACCCTGAATCCTCGATTTGACTCAGAGAGACCGCGAGAAATCCTTGTTTTTGCTCGTCGATGGAGGCAACCAATTGCTCGAAGCAGGAGGGGGTATCCGAATGTCCGCATCCAATACCAAGAATATCGTTTCTCTGGTACCTAGTAACAGTACGAAAGGCAACAGGATTGGTATCTGTATACCTCGCAAGCAGAATCGACCAGGCTATTTTGAGCGTTGACTTTAAACAGACGTTGCTCTGATGAAGGTCCAATGGCTTTAACTCCACAAAGCCGGTCTTTTCATGTTCAAGTTTCACAGGCCGATGGTTTAGCTTTGGAAATACACAAATGTTCGTGCTTTGCGATGGTTTATTGTCTCTTGTGCTTGCCGTCAGGCACACGTCTGGATTGAAGATAGTCATCTGGAGACAACACACCCTCACATAACAGCGAGGACTTTTCTTCTATTCTGGCATGGGTCTATTGAACGACTAGCGAACAACCATGAGAAGATAAGTACTCTATTACTCCGTACTCTCTCCTTGCTGATTTTATCTTCGGGCTTTCCTCAACCTATCCACATCCACCATGAACTTAGCCCGTACTCAGCCTAGCTCTATTTATACCATTTACTCATATGTTCCACTTGGTCGTCTTGCAAATATCCCGAGGAGGATGTTTTTAGTGACATCCGGGGCCTGTCATTGACCGCTTTCTTGCCACCTGATGGAGCTTACGGCGTGTTGTGGCCCTGAACTCCTCTGTACCAGTCGAGGCTCATTGCGTATACAGAGCAATATCTGATACATTGAAAATCTGATTGGAGTATCTCCTCGTCATTACTTTTTGAAAACAAAAAATAAGTTAAAAATTAAAAATTAAAACTAGCGTTGAACCCTAACCCTTGCTTATGCCGCTGGCCGTTTTGTCAAACTGTATGGATTTTCCCTATCATTCCGGAGGAAGTGCTGGCAATACCCCCCCTCCCCCCCTGTGGCCACAGGATGACGCTGATGAAGCCAGCCAAACTCAGAGCTCTCACTTGGCCAGAGACGCTTTACGAGGACTCCATATTCTGCCCGAAGTAAGGAGTACAGTGACACTCGGGCAAAACCACAACTCGTGGGGAGACTAAAAGAAGCCATGAATGAGACATCTAAGTCCTCAAATCACTTTACTCCGGCCAGCTAGCTAGACATAGCGAAAATAAGGTTTACGAAATCTTTACGGAATAGTCAACCCGCAGTCCGTACCAAGGACCAAAAATTTGGTCTGATCCCAATGAGAGCTGAAAGCCCGCCTAGAACGATGATATATCGTACCAGGCCGACGACGCAGAGAACCTGGGATAACTTCGGAGGTGACGTTGAAGCAACATCAATAATGCCCCGAACAAGGATGATACGACCTGAAGTTAAATGTGGGCTGTTATGGAGTATCTGCGGAAGTAATTGAGTCGTTATGGAGTACTCCGTACGGAGCAAGTGTGATACAGAAGGATCGCCCGATCTAAACCTTGCTCGTTTTTTCTTTTTCTTTTTCTTTTTCATTTTCTTTTTTTTTT